AAAAAAGACCAACGACTCTGATTTGCAAACATGTGACACCAATGATCTTTTTTGATCTAACGACTATCAGATAAGGTGTCAAATTTTAAATTTGACTCTGGTGTCAAAGGATCCTACCCATGGTAGTTAAAATCGGAATTTAAATCTTAAAATCCCGATTTGAACGATTTATTTTTGCTAAAACGATTTAGATTTCACTTAAAATCCTTTCCAATATAAAATCCCGATTTAGACATTTACTTAAGTCCAATTTTAAGATTTAAATCCCGATTTTAACTATTGGAATGATGTTAAGCAAGTTAGAAAAATTGTTGAATATAACATTGCTGATGTTTCATCCAAAGATGAATGGATTGTGAAAATGAAGAAACTTTATCTCATGATGAAAGTTTAGATGAAGACAATTTTGAATAATGTAGTTGAAGATCATGTGGAACAGGATGTCTTCGATGATAATAACTTGAATGATTTATTAGCTTAGACCCTTAGAGTGTGACAATTGTATACAAATGTATAAGGATGGTGGCAGGTAGTCTATTTTTCTTAAAAAAAATTTATACATAAGCATATGTATATAAAAATTTAATTTTAGAGTGCAGGTAAAATCTACGATTTTTATTACGATTTACGATTTTTTATTCCCTTTTCGATTTTTGGTAAAATCCCAATTTTGACTACCTTGATCCTACCTCATATATATATATATTATATATATATATATATATATATATATATATATATATATAAGGTTTAGCGGATGTACTGTGACTGCACCTAAGGATTAGTACAGTGATATAAAACTAGGTCATTTTATAGTGTGCAAGCATTAAATATGAGAAATTATAACCATACAAATATGGAAATAAATATAAAACAGTAAATATGGGGAATCATAACCATACAAAGGTGAAAATAAATATAATATTTCTATTTTTTACAATTAATTTTGAATGCAAACTTCTTTTATCATACCCAAAACGACATAGTTTCTAAGTGACTACATCAATGCTTATATGCAGTCACATTACGAATCATTTTGCCTATATATATATATTTCTTAATCTTATTCGAGTTTTATTCTTCGTCCATGACTTTAATTTTCTTTTTCTTTTTCATGCCAACCCCGTATGCCTTTCAAGTTGGGTTAATAGGTTTAAGGGAAATGTTTTTGTTATGTAACATAACATAAGAACAAACTTCCTACTCTCACAAAAGGAAGAGACAGGAGAGAGAGTAGGAAAAAGAAAAAAAATTTAAAGTGGGTCCCATATAAAATTTGTGTGTGTAAGAAAATAATTTTATGTTATGTAACATAATAAAAATAAACCACTAGGTTTAATCAACCTCTAAAGTTGTACTTTCTCTTGTCGTAAGAGAGTTATTGTCGCGGTCCAAAAACACCCAATATTCATTCAAGTCCAGAGTTAAGAGCTTATTCCAACTATTTAGCTTTTACTTTATCTTTAGTAATTATCTTGTTTTCTTTAGGTTGTCAGTTAATTAGAACACGAGTTTGTCGAGAATGATTTATTTCTATTTAAGCTATTCTAATTTACAATGGGAATAAGCAAAAAAATTGGCATTAACCACCACTCTTCTCTCTTCTTTCACTCTTCCCCTCAAATGTCCTCCTTACATTAGGTGCTTTCGTTATGTCCTCAACTTCCACGGTTGAGAACACCCATAATACTCGCCACAAAGAAATCCAATCCCAACTCCAAACGCATACCAACTAATTTATCTTGAAATTCATCTATCAAGATAAATTAGTGATGCACACGTTACTTCCGCAACCTCAATCTTTTCTGCCAATTACATAAACTAGTCTCCCAAAATTCAATTTTATCGTGCCTTATGTGCTTCTCTATAACCACTCTGTCGCCGTCATCCTCTGAGATCCATATTATTCTTGCTTAATTTGCGGTTGTCTATTCTTAACCAAAATCTTTACCACCAAATCGACCCTTCAACCATCACATCAACTTATAACCCTCTGCTAAGCCTATCCAAGTTCGCCCTTACCACTATCCCCATTATAAAAAAAAAAATTGAAAAATTATCAAATAATGTTAGCTCAGTTGGCGTCGAGAATCTGAGCAAGTAAGGATGAGAGCATGTGTTCAATACTCCTCATTACTATCTTCGAGAAAGGTTTAAAACTTTAATCTCAGAACTCGCCTCAAATTAAACTAGTCGTAAAGTGATAAATCGATTGAAATATCTCCAAAAACAAAAATGAAATTGAAAAATTGATACAAAATATGTTATGAGGTGGGATCATTCATTCAAGCCAATTGCCTTTAGCTCTCCGGTTTTGCTGGTTAAGACGTTTTTTGTGTGAACTACATGGCTCTAAACTCTATCACCATCAGCGACAAATTTCACACCAGTTTAACAGACACTTCATAAAGGAGAAAATTGATGCTAAGATCATTGAGTTGGAACACGTCTCATCGAGAGGCCAAGTGGTTGATGTGTTTACCAAAGCACTGACTAGAGTCAAATTTGAAGAATTAATTTGCAAGCTGGGTCTTTACAACATCTACTACCTAACTTGAGCCAGAGTGTCGCTAAAGTTTATACAGCTAGTTGTTTTAATTCCAGAATATTATACAAATTGGCTGTTTTAATTTTCTAACTAGTTTTCCTATTTGTTTTGTTTTTGAATTTGAATTTGAATTATTTCCTTAATTAATTTCCTTGATTTTCAAAATATGATAATAATTCTCTGATCCATTTTTTCCAAAATTTTTAACAATTATATCGTCATCCCATCGGCATGAAATGAGAAGAATTATTATTTTCCAATTTCTTCCTTCTTTATCCTATTTTTCTATATTTTTAAAATCTTGAACAGGTGAATAGTCTTTGTATTTTATTACATCCAACACCCACTCTTATATTTAGCTAATTATGTCAAAATTCTTACTAATTTATCTACGTAATGTAGCTTTGCTATTTTTGAATCCCCGTTTACTTGTTAAAAAAATAACAATACCTCCATTTTTTCCCTTTTTTTCTAGGAAAACTAATTAAGAAATTACATTTTCTCCTAAAATCATTTAGTTTAAACAAGGATTTCCAACCCAAGAAAAAGGGCATAAATGTCGAAATACCCTTGGAGAAAGATTACAAATACAAATAGAAAAATGAAAATAAAAGAGTCATCACTAAAAAGCTAGTAATTTAACATTTAACAGAAATAGAGTATGATTATGCAGTGTATTATGCTTTCAGCTTTTCTTCAGAATATCTAGTTATGCAAAACACCAACAGTTCCGCTTTAGAACCGTCAATCAGAATCTGCATGCATTGGGATAATTTCCATCCGTAGAACTAGCTTCATGTTGTATGAACTACATGGGCTTAGTAATTCAACAAATTCCGAAATGCTAAGGGTTCAAAAAGGACTACTCATGTAGACACCGTTAACTGTTATACAGTAATTACATTGAAATAACACTACATTACATTTCAACTCTGCCATTTTCTAGCATTTTCTTTGCCTCACGCTCCATCCATCCTATATTAGGCAATAGCTCTGGCAATACATGTAATTGTTAAGTGCCAAACATGTTATGTTTTAGGGCCAAAATAGGATAAATATTGTTGTGATTGGTCAATAACATAGCATATATTGTCAAATGCAAAAAACTCCTGAGTTTTTATGATTGAATGTGATACTGACTTAAAATACATTTGTTTCAGGTTTAAAATGCTAAATCAGAACATTAATTGATCAAAGAAAGCAGGAGAAGACAAAACTCAAGGCAAGCTAAGATTAGAGGAGTATTATTTCATGTTACAACTTGCTAGTCTGCTTGCCCAAACGAGCAAGTCTAGCGAGCAAGGTCCAAAAACGAGTTAAATTTAGCCTCATCCTCGCTGGCTTGCTGGCTTCAGCGAGCAATCGTATTTCCTCGCTAAGCTGCTCGCTTCAGCGAACAAAGGTCCAGAAGCATGCATTTTGTTAATTTATGCTCGTTGGTTTTCTCGCTTCACCGAGCAGCTCGTAAAGAAAGGCTCGTGGATCTTCTCATTAAAGAGGGCATGAATTGGGGCTTTGTTCATTCACTTTTGGACGACTTGAGAGGCAGAGAAGAAGCATTCTTGGAGGAGAAAGAGGAGGAACGTTTAGAACTTCACCATGGACGCCGATTACCAAGTTTTATCTATGAATTCTCATCTCTTTTCCTGTTATGTTTATGTTTCTTTTCATATGCTAGGCTAGTTTCCTTTTTGTAGTTAAGGTTATATAGAACCAACGGATTCCTAGTGTTATCTTTTCCTTTCTTGTAATCTGATATTCAATTTTATGTTATGCAATTAATCTATTTTTAATTCCTAGTTTCATTTATGATTTGGCCAGTCATAGATGAACACTTGAATCTTGCATGATAATAGAGATGTTGGTGTAGGATTTCGATTGATTAATTGCTAGGTTTTGTATGATTTAGGGATAGACTTACAAAATCTATTACTGTTGAATTCTTGATCTTAATGCTTGCCTTAGGAGAAATCACTCAAGAATTAGAATTTTTAATAACGTAAAGGATTGATATATCAAGGGATTGAGTTTTAATTAATCTTGAAAGAATTGTCAATAACATGTTTTGAATATCAGTTATAGGAAATGATAGATTCTTTATTAAGACGTTGGAGAAATCAACACCCTAATTATGTTTTGCATTATTGATTTATTCTGATTTTTATTGTGAGTTCTTAGTTCTTGTTCTTGATAGTTATTTGATAGGTTCAGTTTTAGTTTTATATTTTAAATCACATTTTCATCAACCTTTACAGTCTATCTAACTTTAGTTGTGTAGCGAAATTAGTGCTTGATAAGTCAATCCTCGTATGAACGATTCTTTACTCTTCACTTTATTATTTGTACAATCGGTATACTTACCGTTTTCACAACAGTAACAAAAGCAACCAATGGCCTGGTCATTCTTATTTGGAAAACTGTAGTTGAAAGTAGAAGCAACTTCGACAAAATAACTATTTGCCTCTAGATTTCAACAACACCCTCTTTGCCATCATGTAAGGATATAGGTACAAGAAAGAACAGCCATCTACGCTAAAGTAGAAGAACCTTATATTGTTTCTAAAATGTTCTCCAAATTGTTTCAGACACACAAAACATATACAAGTAACGCACGCCTATCATAATGTTATTTTCACAACCATTGCCAACCATCCACATCTATTTAGACATCTGAAATATCCACACCAGCTAAACTGCTCCAACACAGACTACAAAATTGAATCCTTACTATTCTAACGTTCACTAAAGACCAAAAAAGAGTTATATACAGTAGAGAAACATGAGGAAGTGAAGGCAAAAGATTAAAGAGAATAGCATCAGAGAAGTTTATTCTGAGCAACTGCCTGGCATAGTTCATCTTCGTAGAAAAGAACTCTATTAGAAGCCATGGATTTGCATACGGGCTTTGGTAGAATTGATGGCACCAAGCTATGAGAAGGAAAAGCTGACTCCTGGAAAAGAACAGCTGCAACCTGCCGCATCTCAGAAACTTTCAGGCGAGAAGGCGGTCGAGGTCCATGTCTAGGTGCTTTAGGTGTATGTGGGCTTGGAATCCTTACTCCCTTCCCATCACCCTTACTGGAAAAATCAATAGCACTATGACAAGACATGCATTAAAAGTTAAAGGAACAAATTTATGGTCAAAATTATTTACCACAGAAAAGGCCAATGTTCAGTAGGACGGGGAGTCATTCTATTTAACATCTCTTGCCGAGAGCGATCTGGGGTAGTATAATTGAAGTGAAGCTGCCTTGCAATCATAACCTAACAATATTAGAAAGAGTTAGCCATTGCACAAGTAACCAAACCACTTCAACTAATCATAAGCAAACATTTACAGGCATATATATATATATATATATATATATATATATATGCAGCACAGGGACACAGAACTTACAGCTTTTCTAATTCTTCGACAAACATGGAAGACAGCCCTCAGTTGGTCATGGTGCAGGTGGCATAGTAGTTTAACCTCAAAATTGTGAAAGAAAATGGTGTCAACAAAACAAAGAATAGTTCAAATATACAAGAGTTAACACTGCAAGACATGACTAAATCCATCTAATTGAATACAATAAAACACAAATATAAATAAATAGTTTGTATATTGTTGTGCTTGTAGTTGTTTGTCGTTAACAACTTTACTAATGCTCAACTAGCTTGATCAAATCCTAATGACATTTCACGATTAATTAAAAGTAGCATATAGATTTTACCCAAAAACACGGATTCAAGTAATAAAATAACTCATTTAGTGATGCCAAACAGAAAATCACAAATGCTCTTGAGCATCATACAAAACAACAAAGGCAAGCGAGAAGAAACAGACCCATCCATCATCAATCTCAATGAGTTTCGTTCCACTGGCATCCCCGCCAATTCAAAAACACTGATTGAGGATAACATAAAATCAAGCAACAAACAAGTATTTCTTTATGTGTGCTTAATCATATAATGGTATTTTAACATTCTTCTACATTCAAAAAAATCACAACAAACCACTGAAACTCTGAAACCTACTCATACAAATACTTTAAACTCCAAAAAAACATAAAATTCAACACTAAATCAGTACCAATAAAAAAACTGAGATCACAACACATACCAACAAATCCATGGGAAGAGACTCGAGCCTCGATTCTGATTGGATATCATCGGTCCGCGGGGTTTTGGGCGTCCCAAGCAAATTACTCTGTTTAACCAAATTCACAGGCGTCAGCGTCAGAGGACTTTTATCAAACACCTTATCGTCATGACCCTGCGTCTTCCTCGTATGCAACAGCGCCACTCTTTTCTTCCCAATATCAGTACAAGACTTGGAAGCAGAACCCGAAGAAGAAGAATACGAAGACTTATTACACCGAAGCTGAGCAAGAGTTCCAGGTTTCAGATACTTATTCCTCATTTGTTTTTTCCCCTTTGTTACCTTCCAACTCTTCTCTTTCGGCGACGCTTTTCCCATCGCTTCTTCTTCACACCTACTCCTCCAAATAACCCTCAATTACACCTGAAAAACACAACGAATTTGAAGCCACTTGACAAAACCATCATTATCAGAATCAGATCTAAAAAAATTGAGAAATTAAACTCAAAAAATAAATCAAAACCCTGGAAAAGAAAGAAAAAAAAAAGAGGAGAAAAACTTACATTACGAAAAATTAAGAGAATTAGGGATTCAAATCAAAGCGAAATAGATAGAGAGCTTCCTTCCAGAGTAGTAGGTAGAAGCGAAACAGAACCCAGAGAAATGAGAGGGAAAAATACTGAATTTTTTTTTTTCTTCCTTTTTTTGCTTTTTATTTGAATTCGCTTGATTCTTAAGCTGCCCGCCAAATTTTCATGAATAGCTTGCTCCTAGGAACAAAAAAAAGCCATGGGGGTTTCTGCACTGTATCCAGGTTTTGTGACGTGGAATCATTTTATTGGTTGTTTTTGGCATCCTAGGCGGTGTGGGCCCTACCTGATTACTGGGCCTCGTGGGAATGTGGGATGGCATTGAATAATGAAGATTTTTTTGTTTTTTTTGTTTTCTCATCTTTATCCTTATTTGGTTATATTGGTTTTCGAAATTAAGATGAGGGGGAAATTGAAATATTAATGATTTGACATTTTTTAGAGGAAAATGAAATGACAAGTATGCCCTTGGTTGTTGGAATGCCCTAAGAACTTGGCAACCCTCATGACTGATTCAATACGGGTTCACTCTTTTATTAATTCAGCTTTCACGCGTGAGTAACAGCGCTTATTCATGCATTTTCATAAAATTTTATTATACTCTTTTGAAAACAAATATAGTAAAATTATAAATAAATAAATAAAAAATTTGGTAATAATACATGTTTGAAAATGAAGTTACATTAAAAAAAAAAAAGTGTAACTGAAAAGATAATATATATTTATTTGGAGGAAAACTTGAGTAATAAATGAATTGATAACTGACTCAACTGAGAAATGAATAAATAACAATTAAGAAATGAATATATTTATTTACGAATACATGATTGTGTTGCTCCTCTCCTCGTGTATGAATTTTTTTTTCCCTCTTTGCTAAGTCTTCAATGATTACCCAGATGAGCATAGGACCCCGAGCTTTAGATTGAATGTTGACCAGTTCGGAGGATCTTGTGTAGGTCCTAACTTCACTGCACTAATTATGGTTAAAGGGTAAAAGGAAGGCACCCATTTTCTTTTGACTAGTACTCTCTAATTACTCATCTAAAATAATGTTATATTTTGATATATGCTGATAAGATATTTTTAGCCAACATTTAATATCCTCTTTACACAGCTACTTAATAGTTACAATCACGATAAGACAAAAAAACATATTTTTGTTATCAAAAAAAAAAAAAAAACATATTTTTTTTATATAAATGTAAATTAAACACATAACTTAATATAATTTAATTAAATTTTTTATCACTAAACTAATTATAGTGGCTTAAAAAAAGAGCATACTTTTATCGTAATGAAAATTGGCCTAGCTAATGGATTAATTAATGGAGTAATTAGTAGCAACAAAAATAAAAAGTTATATTGGGTATTATTATAAGTAAATATATATTATTACTTATTTTCTTTATAAATCTTGTTGAAAAAAAAAAGCTAAAATTAAGGAGCATTTTTTTGGTGTAGCAGGAGTAAAAAAAGGGATTAGATGGAAATAACTTAAAAAGATATGAATAAAAGTGGAAGAAAAATTTCTTCTTTTAGAAAAAAAAAAGTACCAAGTGAGTACATCCAATAGAAATTTCCAAAATTAAGATGGCAACAGTTTCTGTTCATGCAAATACTTCCGGAATAAACATACAATATCAAATATTCGAAGCCTTATTCTAAAAAGAAAAAATATTCAAAGCATTTATCAAAGGATGTGTTGTATTATTTATAAACTCTTACAAATTACACTATATAATCCTGAAAATACATTTTTAATTGATTCTATTCCCAAGAATATATAGTTAAGTTTGTAAAAAATTTCCTTTATCAAATATATAAAATTAACAAGTTACAATTACATGAAAACAAAGCACGAATGATACGTAATCAGAATACATGCAATGAAATGAATTGAACCATGACAGACTATGAAACAAAATCCAAGCTCAAGGATGGTTTTTGTTTTCTTAAGAAAATTTTCCCTTTCACGATACCTAAAAATGATGGAATAAAACGAATTACCTTTCTTGCGATCAACCACGACAAAAGCCAATTTGAACTCAATGGAAAAGTCAAAGTTATACAACCAGAAAAAGTGATCAATTTTTTTTTAGGAAAACCTCATGTTTATATAAAACGGTCAGTCATAAACACAAGAGTCTAATCATAAAACCATTAGGTTGTGTCGTGCCATAAGAACGGACGGTAGTGCACATAACACATTCATGTAGTGGTGGTTAGGTTGGCCATGATCTCCCTCCTTTCACAAAAGTAGGTGCTCCTCGGGGGGCTAACCAAAGCAGTGAAGAAGGGTCTTATAAAACTTCCTACTTCTTCTTTGTCCAATTAGAAACTTCTTCACACTTCACTCCTTTTCATCTTTCAAACACAACGTATTCATTCACACATGGAATTCACATAGAACTCCAACAAATTTCACCTCCAAAACCACACTTTATGTTTTTTCATTCATGCCATATTAAGATTGCTTTACTTAATATTTCAAAAAAGTAATAATAATTTAATTAATATATTGAGTTACAAATTTGGCTAATGAAAAATATGAAGTCTTAAAAAAGCCTAATTAATAGAGGTTTAGGACAAAGAAATTAAGAAAAATATTGTTGGGTTGGTTATCTCCTATTGAGTAGATGTGGGAAAACGGGTCAGCCCGTCCTGACCAGCTCCGCCCCGCCGCCAACCCCCAAAAATGGGTTGGCCCGCCCCGTCCCGCATCTTGATATGGGTTGAAAATTCCAACCTACCCCGTTTTATGGTGAGTTGACGGATTGGCGGGTTAACCTACCTAAAAATTAAATTAAATTAAAAATTAAAAATAAATTATATTTTATTAATTTTATAATATTTCTTATTTTCATTTCACAATTCTTTTTTTTTAATCTCAAGTCTAAATGTATACTAATATTCAGTCAAATATTTTTTAGGAACTTATTTTTGCTTCCATATATGGATAACTTTTGTCATAAATAAAGTTTTTCTTCTTTATTTTTTCTAGGGGAGAGTACTAAGATAAAAAAAAATATTAATATCACAAAAGCTTAGTGACAAATAAAATACTACCTATTAGTAAAAAAAAACCTGACCTGCGGGCCAACCCGCCCCGACCCATCACCAACCCATAACTAAGCAGGGCGAATTGAGGTGGGTTGAAATGTATAACCCCCCCCCCCCCTCGGTTTTGGCAGGTTAACCCGTCGGGTTCAACCCACATTGACACCCCTACTATTAAGGTCCAAATCCAACTTTACTTTCACCCTAATTAGGGTTTCTAAGAGGGTTAAAGAATGAAGAATGAAAGTTGACAAACTTTTTTAATTCTAAGTGGTTTTAATCATACGAATAATCGGGTGGTCAAGTCTTGTTCATGAGTTAAAATTTTAACTATAGATTCCTCACTCTGAACCTGTTTGGATCCTTTCTTTTCAAGCTAGAAGTTACTTTTAAGTTAAACCTAATAAAAAGAGTTCAAAAAAAACTAAAATTATTTAGTGATTACATAAAAAAATTAGCTTAAAAGCACACATTTCAAGAAAAGTCCCTCTCTCTATCTTTATAGCTCTCCATTTAAAAAAAAAACAATTGACTCTACATCTTGGTACCTAATTGACAAGGGATAGCCAATCATGGCCACACACCATATGGCTCTAAATCCCACATGCAATTCACCAACTTATCATTTAACTCAAAATGAGAAAAACATGTTTCACATTCCATCAATGTTACAATGAATCATTTACAACAATATTCTTCAAAACAATTACATGCCAAATAACCTAGCTACAAAAGGGACCTAATCAAAGCTATTAGCCATATACAACAAGGCATTAACCACCACAATGATCATGCACTAAGTCTTCCAAAATACATCAGGTGGCCTCAAAATATACATATACATGTGGCAATGTAAATGACATATACATCTATAATCCTAGATGAGATGCAATCCAAAATGACAGGCTACTTACATATGATATCTAGCTCAAATACGACCACTTGCCACCAGAGGCTCCTGCAACATCTGTACCTGAAAGAGAATCCCCACACCACGGGATAAGATATACAAATATACCTCAGTAAACCAAGGGTCCTTGGAGCATCTCTCCACCTCATTGTTCACTCACAGTATAGTAGCAATAAAAGTAAGTAATGCAGTAAATACATATCTATGCAGTGTGTAAAACATCTCCAAGAGACATCCCTCGAGCTCTCATGTTGTCCTAAGGATACTCACATGCAAATAGTCCTACTGATCAGAGAATCTACCAAGTATGAATTACGCATCGTCATGCACCATACAAAACATAGGAAAACATCATTCTATGCCACACCCAGTGCATACACATACGTATAACAAAGCATTAAACTACTTTATTGCATTTACATACATTATTAACAACTGTTACCCATTCCGAGCTTGGTAGAACAATAAAGGGATCAATTCTCAAGGTCCGAAGGCTCACCTTAATTTGCTTCCCAATGGAACCTTTGTTCACCACCAATACAACAATCAAGCTTCACAATTTAATATTGCTTCAAGTCAAGTAGACTAAATCAAGTTCCATGGTTTCCACCAGTCCTTGATCAATCAAAGGTGGTTCACTTGCACCAACCCTACCAACACAATTGACATAATCAATTATCCAATTCACTAATTGCTCAAATTGCTAAAAACTCACAAACCCAATCATGAATTTTTCAATTTATTAAACAATAACCAAATGACTATTTAAGTTCATTTTCACCGTTTAATTACCATTTCTAACAACTTTTACAAAGGGTTTTAATCTCAATCACCATCTAACATAGCCCAATATTCATGCATTTCTCAAAGTAAAACCTTAAACATGCACCTCTTTCAAACTAACCAAAATGGATGGAAAACTTACCACAATCTAACCACTATGGTCCAATGTGAGGGTTCCAAACCACAAGAATGGAAGACTCAACCTCAAGCTCCACCAATGTCAAATTTTCTACAAGCAATATCTCATTCCACAACAGTTTCCACTTAAAACTAAGTTAGGGTTAAGAAAGAGGAGAAGATTTGAAGCAAAATTGGCTTTGGAATGGATGGAAAAGGTGAAGAAATGAGGGAGTTATGGTTTTAGGACATTTGAAGTGATTCTCTCCTTCT